CTCGTTGATCTAGATGGGTTGTTATATCCAACGGTAGACAGTAACAGAAGAGAATCGGACGGTCTTCAAAGTCTAAAGAGTTGTTTTTATCTTGTTCCTCTGTACCCTCTCTGCCGTACACCGGAAGAAAAAACCGGCGACGATGGATGTGGAGGATGAAAGTGAAATGTCTTTGGCCGTAGCTGCGTCAACGATCGATCCTACACATCTTGCGGCTTACCTCAAGAAAAATTCACCTGTAATAAGCAATGGAATCATTGTCTTTAAACCCTAGTTCTGGAATGCTCAACCCAATATTCAATCATTCTCTTTTTTTACGTTTTTTTCCATTTTCTAAACATTGATTTTTTGTAAACATCAGCTTCCGTTATCTGAGTTTACTGGAAAACAGCAACCGAGTGGATCGACCCACTTCCAACTGACACAGTCGCTACCTTCATATTGTGGTCATTTGATTACATTCTTGCTCATTTGGAAGGAAAACGTACGCCTCCCCAATCTCATGTAATTTTCCAATTCCTTTCTCCAATCGAAATTGACTGCTCTGTATCCACTTACCTTTGTTTGACTGCTTGCTTTACGATTAGGTGTCAGTATTTGTTGTATTAGCAATGGTTTTGCGGACCAAACCTGATGCATTTGTTATTATATTGCCCCTTCTGAGGAGGGACCCTTATCAACCTTCCGGTTACAGTTTGGATGATGGCTCAGGTTCGTGTCACATCTTTTTCAGTCTCGATATAACTCTTTGTCTTGTGTATTCTCATTGTAAAATGTCCACAGGTCTCCGTAGTTGATTTATGTCTAGGTTTGTATTCATGGGCGTATAACTTGTTACCACTTGTCGGTAAATTCAGCCCTCAGTCAATGGATCTCATCCTGCAGTTGGTTGAGAGGTGAGTCCAAATTTTCCTTCTTTTTTCCGCTATGTACAATCATCTCATCTTGTTTATGGAATTCTCTTCGTCCTCTCCAAATGCTCGGACCATACTTTTAGATAATTCTGTTAAGAAGGGCGACGCGGGACTGATTTCAGTTCCTTCATTTGAGAACTTGCTGTGGCTTACATTCCCTGTTTCATCCTAGAGCGTAAATGTAAGTATTGAAATTTATAAGACTAAACCTTTACGAGTGTCTGATCATCACAAGCAAGCAATCATGGTCTCTCTGTCTGTATGCACACAGGAAACAAAGAGGTTTGAGGCAGTGGTTGAAGGAATTGGCTCTTGCCGATGCACCAGGAAGGAAAGCAATGAAACAACTCACTCAAGAGATATTCACTTCTTCTCTGAAATTAGCCGGGGAAGGTATTATTAGTATAACAGACGCAACCCTGAATCCTTCTAGTTTCTGCTTCCCTCCCGAATAGAGTTGTAATCTGTTGCTGTTTTTAGCCAAGGAAGCTGCATCAATCGCTATTTGGTGTGTGACCAAGAACGTTGATTGCTGAAATCACTGGGACGATGTCTATAAGAAAAATCTTGAAGCTAGTGTTGCTCTTCTTAAGAAGCTTGTAGACGAACGGGAGGATCATTCCCACAAACTATCATCATCACCGAGTGATACTTGACTAGTAAATAATGAGAGTTTGGTTTTGGGAGTCAATAACGGAAGATTAAACCAGCCGGTGAAATCCAATCTCAGATCAGGTTTTTGGACTGCTTATTTTGTGTCAAGATCGATTTTCAGAACCAGGTATAGGAACTTTGAAACAGCAACAATGGAAACAAGTAGCTGAGATTGTGAACAATAGTCGTCAATGCAAGTATTCAAAAACTGATATACAGGATTGATATTGTGATGAAGAAGTATAAGCAAGAAAAAGCTAAGATTGCTTCTGGTGATGGACGTAGCAAATGGGTTTTCTTCAAAAAAGCTTGAGAGTTTGATTGGAGGAAACACAATCACTGGTTTGAAATCTTCTGAAAGGGTGTTCTTGTGAATAGTCGTTTGAATATGTTTAAACGTCAAGCTAAAGGAGGAACACAGCAACATGGTGAATCGAAACGAAGCTCGGATCCAATGCGTTGGCATTTCAGGAAACGAAGTGCAT